AACGGTGTGTACAGTGAGAGCCCACAGTGAATGGTGTTTTCTACAGAGTCAGGGCCTAACAGTGAGAGAGCCAGAGTGAACGGTGCATACCGCAAAGCAAGCTGACTCCCCGGGGATGATGAGTTGGATGTGACCCGAAACAGCGTTCTCACTGACTCCAGATTCCATCCACGTCTGTCCGAGTTCATTACAAGCCTGAGAACACAGACGAGTGTCATTTAACAGATTACTCCAACAAAAAAAATTATGGCTTTAACTAAATGAATTAACAAGCTCTTTAAAAATTCATTTTCAGAATGAAAGAGGACATTTCTAATAATGGAGTCCCCTTCACAACGGAAGAACTGACAACAGCCAACCAGTGTGAAGATTTATAGTTAATAAGAACCAGGGTCTGTTCATGGTTTCAATGTGTTAGTGTAAAACCCAATTCTAAAATTATTCAGCAACAGAAAACACCAAGATGTCAATTAAAAATTTACTGAACCAAAGTTCCATTTTATTTTGGAGAAACCACACATGTAAAGGTTTACACTCACAGCTATTTTTAGGATCTAAAACACTGATGGACAGCGTAGGGGAACAGACACGCCAGGAGTGTTGCCTGGTGGAGCAGGTACTCACTGTGTTTATTGCCATCCGTGCTTCAAAATTATCCACACAGCTAAGAACCAGGTCCACAGGCTTCCCCTCCTCGAGCCCACCATTACTAGGCAAAGAGAAGAAACCTTAGTTAAAAATGATCACGAGACAACACGAGTTCATTCTATATTTATTGTTAGGACTTTATGTTTCACTGAATGTGTGTTTTTTAGGTGCCATCAAGCCAAATGTCACTATGAACAACAGATCTGAACCTTCCTCTCCCCTACACCATCCTTTATTGATACAATTATAACAAAAGGGAAAAGGGTTAAAATCTGTTTATGTAAGTTACTGTCACCTATCAGAAGCTGCGCTGCAATCCCAAAGGCACACAGTTCGAGGTCACCAGCTGCTACATGGAGAAGGATGGGCAATCTCCTCTCGTGCAATTAACTGCCTCTGAAAACCCGACGAAGGTCAGTTCCGACTCGACATTACAACAATAACTGTCACCTCACACCTTTCACAGACTTTGTTCATTCTTCAATGTAAACGTAATAAACACTCACTGATTCTTTAGCAACACAGAATTACCTTATGACCTCAGCAATCACATTCTTAGGTATATCCTCAAAAGAATAGAAATCAAGAATTCAGAAAGACAACTCCTGTGCCTCATGCTCACGGCAGCACTCTTAACTGCAGCCACAACGTGGAAACTACCTAAATGACCAGCAGCAGATGGACGGGCAAACACGTGGTATTCACACACGGACACTGCTTGGCCGTGGAGAGAAGCGCAGTCCTGATACAGCTACAACAGAGATGAGCGCTGGAAACGTGACACATGAAACGAGCCAGCAGTTAGATAAGCCCTCTTGTAGGGCCTACCCATAACACCCCAAAGCTGATTAGCGATTACTAGGAGGACCTTCCTGTCAAGTAAAGGGAGCTTCCTGCTGAAGAGGAACAGTGTTTCTGTTAAAGATGAGAAAATGTTCAGACTCACAGCGATGCTGGTGCTTAGGATGGACTAATCAATCCCACTAAACACGTGCAAAAAATGTTCAGCCTGCAAAAATGGTGTTTTAAAAGACAGCTAAAGAAAGCCATTCGTTTTGCCAGTCCGAAGTATAAAAATTAATTTTCATAGAGAAATATAATCAGTAACAAAGGACCTTACTTGAGATCCCTTGTTAAATCATTATTTTATTGGGGGTGTTTTGAGAATTATTGTATTGAACTAACAGAGAGAAATGTCACCAAAACCCACTTATAGAAACAGAAAAATATCTTTCTATCAACTCTGTCATCAGAAGTTCTTCTAATATTAATAATTGTTTAACAAAATTTCACCCATACTTTACCTTATTCTATCCATGAAATGTTGGAAGTTTTCCACTGTGGTGATGTTGTAGTTGTGTACTTCAAAAAGAACATCAGGATTAATGTTCCTAGGAGGGAAGGGGGCTGATTATAAAAAGGTCCAGTAAGAACTGAACAGGAAAAGCAAGAAGGGAAACAGCTGAAAGAGTAGGAGCAGGCAGAGGTTTAAGAAGGACCCGCCACTGGATGAAAACCAGAAGTTGTGCCCTTGGACTCTCCAAGGTCCCTGAAGGACTAGGTTCCAGGGTGTGCAGAGGATAGCTCAGAAGAGCATTTCCACCCAACCTGATCCGTTCACACGCAGGGGAGTGAGTGCAGCCCCAGAAAGGACCAGCTGCAGTCCTCACCCACCCAGTCTGAGGACGCTGGAGGACAGACACCTGCAACTGCAACTGGACACATGCAGCCAGTCTGATCTCAATCACATCTGCATCTGTTTCTGCATGACTAACAACGGTGTTTATGTTTGAAATAGCTGGAGGAAGAACTCCAAGTGGTATCCAGGCTGAGTTAGTGCACATTCTGACTTCCCACTCCAGGAACTGTCATGGGCACATGGTTTGTTTGCACACTGTCTACGTGTGCTTTCACACTCTGAGGACACAGGAGACAAAGAGGCAGAAACCAAATGCCCCACAAATGCTGAACTACCACTTCATCAAATGCAGGTAAAGTTTGCCAGCACATGCTGATAAGGTAAGAGAACCTATGTCTAACTGAAACCTAAATTTATAGAAAGAAAAATTTAGGTCTGCTTAGGGAACTCTGGTGGCCTAATGTCAAGAAGCTGCACTGCAATCCCGAAAGCACATGGTTCAAGTCCACCAGCTGCTCCGTGGGAGGATAGGCAGTCTCTTCCCACGTGATTAACTGCCTCTGAAAATCCGCCAGTGGGTCAGCTATGAGTCAGTTCCGACTCGATGGTACACAACGACAAGTTGTTAATTCATGCCCTAATATACAAAGGAAGACTTCATTCAGTATGGTCTCTATGTGCCCACTTACCTCAGAGTGTGTTCTGCTGCTTGCACTTTACTTAATCCTGCTTGGTGAGGTTGGAAGAAAAGTCTATTCATATTGGCCAGTTCCACTTTGTCATAGTCAAACAGCAGCAACTAAAATAAAAACAGTGGCATTCTAATGCAAAAATTACCAAAAAACCAACCAAACAAAAATAACGAAGAATAAACGACGGGACTTAACATTTGAGAGGTTTAACAATAAAATACCACCTAAGGTTTGTTGTCGTTATAGTGTACCATCCAGTCCAAACTGACTCACAGAATCCAAAACAAGTCCTAAGAGTCTGAAGCAACCCTTGGCCGACCCTCGAGTGGCTTTTTGGAGGCTGTAAATCGCAGAGGAAGAGACTGCCCATCTTGCTCCGACAGAGCAGCTGGTGGATTCGAGTTACTTGCCTTTGAGTGGGCAGCACATCTCCTTACGACTAAGTCACCAGAGCTCTCTAGCTAACGTCAGGGAGATGTAAATCTAAACAACCGGCTATTGTCTCATGCCATGATAGCTGCTGTAACAGCAAAGCTCAAAGAGGCAGCTAACCACGGTGCAATTACTGCGAAAAACAATCTGGCCTTTCCTTAGAAAGCTGGGAACAGAAATATTATTTGATCTGACAACCCTACTGCTAGGTACATATCACAAAGAAATAAATGCTACAGCACAAACAGATGAATGCACACCCACATTCACGGCAGCATTTTTACAGCAGCGAAGAGATAGGAACAACCTATGTGTTCATCACTGGATGAACAGATCAACAAATGGTCTAGCCACATGATGCAGTGCTATGGAACACTAAAAACAACGACGATTTCACAGAACAAAGCTGCACCTCGAAGACATTATGCTGAGTGAAATAAGTCACCCACAAAAGGACCACTGCTGTAAAAAGCTGAGGAAATGTTTACACACAGACAGAACCATTCTGGGCGGTTACCAAGGACAGAGAAGGGAAATTGATGGGAATAAAAAATAACAGATAACAGGCACACATGAAGATGGGTGAAAGGAAAGTATCAAGTTAGGGGATGATCAGTTCACCATCACTAAAGAAAGGGAAGACACAGAGAGGTACAGAAAGATTGATGGACATGAGACTCACAGGCAGGGAGCAGGAAGAGTGCAAGTACCCACCAATGGGGACCACCAGGGCTACTTCATTCTGTATAAACCCCTAGGCACTTCTGAACACAAGCTGGTCATTTTTTTTTACACTATCAGTGTCCATTTGGGTGGGGATGGGCCTCAACCCATCAGATAGAAAGCAGTGTATGAATAAAAACATTCCAAATCAATAAACCATTAGTATATAGAAAATACTCCTCTAATCTGTACCTGATTTCGTTCAGGAGTGAAAGGCGCCCTACATGAGAGGCAGAGACAAATGCTTTTACCTTACCAATGCCACATCTTGTGAGCATTTCAGCAGTCACACTGCCAACTCCACCAACACCGACGACGGCAACAGCAAAAGTGCGAATTTTCTGCAAAATACAATGTTATGTCATGCTGATTAGTACTCTCATCCGACGTCAAAAGAAAGTATTCTAAATTTAAATCCTCTTTAAAAACTTGGAAAGGTTTGTCATACCTCATAATCGTTTACAATTCCCATTCGTTTCAATGCCATCAGGCGGCTGAAAGAAAAGGTTTTAAAAATTTCTTTAGTTCATAGTGAAATAGCTAGACATACATAAGCACGGGCTATAAATATCAACACTCAATGGAGAAAAACTGAAAAGGGAACCTGAATTGTCATCTGCCAACTCTATTTCATGTCCTTAAATGAACTGTTAGCTGCATATTAGTATCACCTGGGAAGTTTTAAAACCAACAATGCCTGAAGCAGCACCATGTTTCTTAAAGTGCCTTTGAGGTTTTAATGGGAAGTTGGAAAAGTTAATGTTGTGTCTACATGAGAAGTGTAAAACGCCAGCCTTCCCCAGGCTTTCTCTTGGCAGTCACTGTTTGAACTCGGGTCTCCAGCACCAGAGGACGCTGGCTCCAGTGACTTCTGCCCCTCAGGACCATCTCTGCAGGCACAGCTCATTCTGCTGCATTGTGCTTTACTGTGCTTTGAAGACAGTGAGCATCTTGCAGCTTGAAGGTCTGTGATGACACTTGCTGTGCAGGTTTCCCAGCCCATGTCTCACAGAACATGTTCACTGAGCACTTCGGCATCACATCTTGCCAAGTTGTACGCTAGTTTAAGCTTTCTGTATACTATTCTGTGGGAGAACGATGGGCAGTTATTTCCCATGCAAGCTACTGCCTCTGAAAACCAGCTGGATGGTACCCAACACACATAACTTTTTTCTACACTAGGAAGCCAGTGGTCATAAGCTCAATTTACTTGGACATTCCCAGTTCTGTGGGGTCTGTGGGACTGAATGCCCAGTATCTGAGGGGTGACATTTCCTGCCCTGTGGGATCTATAGAGAAGAACACACAGTACCTGAGGTGCAACATTCTCTGCCCTGTGGAGTCTCTGGGACTGAATGCCAATGTGAGGTCTGTAGAGATGAACACACAGTATCTGACGTGTAACATTCCCCACACTGCGGGGTCTGTAAGACTGAACACAGGCTCTGAGGTGTGACATTTCCTGACCTGGGGGAGTCTGTGGGACTGAACCCACAAGCTCTGGTGCTGCAGTCTGCAAGGCTGTACTACTAACTCAAAAGACATGCTTCTCCTACAACCAGGAGAGAACAAAATAGATGAATGGGACCCTCTAAGAATCAAATCCCTATGCACATCAGAATTAACAGGAAACTCACAGATGGAGGAAAATATTTGACAATGACAAACCTGACAAGGAGCGCATATCTAAAATTTACAGAAGACTCCAGCACCTCAACAAGAAAAAGGTAAACAACCCAACTGCAAAATGGGCACAGGATTTGAACAGACACTTCACCAAAGACAACATTCTGATGGCCAAACACATGGAAAAAGGTTTCAAATTCCTAGCTAACAGAAAAATGTAAATCAAAACATGTATGAGGTTGTCCTCTCACCCCAGGAACAACAGCATAGTTTAAAAGGCCAGCAAACAACAAATGCTGGTGAGGTTATAGAGATTGGAATTCTGTTGGTGGGAGTGTAAATTGGTGCAAGCACTATGGAAGGCAGTCTGGCACTTTCTCAAAAAGTTGGAACAGAAATACCTTTTGATCCAGTAATTCCACTACTGTGAAGATACCCTAAAGAAACCAGAGTCACAACTCAAACAGATATATGCTCACCCTGTTAACTGCTGCATTACTCACAACAACAAAGTAATGGAAGCAACCCAAATGTCCATTAAGAAACTAATGGATAGAAAACTATGATACATTCACTCAATGGAATACTACACAGCAACGAAGAACAATGAACCTGTAAAATAATATACAACATGTGGGAGCCTGGAGGACACTACAGCCTTGGCTACGCTTGGAACCAACAGGCTGGCAATGACTTTGATATGACAGATATTTCCCACAGCTCAACTCTCATTGCCTGTGGACAATGGCAGGTCAGGCTGCTACCTCAGCCTTGTCTGGCAGGCACTCCATGCTTGCTTTGTATGCCCTGTGTCTGTCATAAGAAAGGCTCAGGAAGTGACAGAGCACATCGTAAGCAGCCTGAGGTGAAAAGGGGCTCAATAAACACTTGCCAAATAAAGGAACAACTCAAAACTTAATTATATTTAATATAAACAGAATTTATTCATTTTCCCATATACCTGTGAATCTTTCTGAGTGTGAATTGCCATCTCCTGCTCAGCAATTTTAATTAAGTTACCCGGTATAAACTGAACAGAAGATACAGAATGCTTCAGTTTGAGTTCTGAAAGCTTTGTCGTGATTAGTACAGTGTCACTGGCTCCAATCCCAGTAATATCTAAAGCACGACTAAAGCTGACTATAAAGAAAAGCCCATGTTTTTTCCTTCTTTGAATGAAAATTGTAAAGCCAACTAGTAAGGAGCTGTGCTGTCAAGCCGCATTTGAATCCCCCAGCTGCTCCACAGGAGAAAGACGGGCAATCTCCTCCTGTCTGATTTATAGCCTCTGAAAATTCAGTGGCTAGGGCCCAATTCCGACTCAAGAGTACATAACAACAATAATATTTGTAAAATTTAAAAATGCTAAAAACGTGTTAAATGGAAATTTTCATTTCATTCTGATTAGAGATGTCAACTCGCATTTATTCAAGCTCTAAAAATGTGGAGTCCCTAACTCTTCATACCCCAGGTCCAGCTGTGAATCCCACCGCGGTGTTACACGTTACCAGCAACAAACCTTTTCTTGGATCAAAACCCCGATACTCTTTAAAAGTACAAAAACATCTCTCCCGCATTACCTGTTTTAAAACTATCCCGTTTTTAGCTACACCATCTACTAGTTTATTAACTGTAACTGAAGGCATTCATTCACATACGTGTTCTGGAAAAAGACTAATGCTGTCCAGGCTCTAGAACTTACTGAGAGCTGTGTGACTTGGATGAGTCCCCGCCGTCCCCTAAACCTCAACCTTCCTCACCTATAAAATGAGGATAATATAACAGGTGCTGAAGTGTGCTGCTGAGTTGGAATCAATCCACAGCTAATCCCACGGGAGAAGACTGCCACTCTTCTCCCACTGAGCTGCTGGTGGATTTGAACTATGTGCCTTTGGGAGTGCAGCGCAGCTTCTTCCCACTAGGCCACCAGAGAGAGTGGGGAGCAGAAACAGACACTGCTCCGAGAGTTGTCATGAGGGGCCATGACGTCAGAACCGACCCACAGGTGGCCCTCAGCAAGCTTCAGAGGCTGTAAACTGCACAGAAGACTGTTCATCCTTCTTCCCTGAGCAGCTGGGAGATTCAAACCACTGGTTGTGGGGTTGGCAATACGACTCCTTCTCACGAAGCCGCCTCTGCAAGGTGCTCCAAACGCTTGGCACACTGTGAGGTCTTTAGTGAGTGGAAAGGTTCTGGAGAAGGCCAACTGTGTGCTGACCGGGGGCGCGACACCCGCAGATGTTCAGAGTCCTCACAACACATGACATCCACCGGCTGCTCCTGCCAGGCGACTAACCGCCTCTGAAACACTGGAGGGTCGGCAAGAAGTCAGCACACAGCCTACCACCACCAGGCTGAGACAGCACCATAACGTCCACTTCACAGAGAACTTGGAGCAAAGCAAAAATCAAGCTGGTCCAGCTGAGAGGGTCCTGAGAAAGCTGAGCTAACACTGCTGAGTGGCGGTGCTGGACAACGTCCTGAACGTCCATGCCCTGGACGCCAAGAGGACAGACATGTCCGTCCTGGAGAAGGGGCAGCGCCTTCGAGGCAAGGGCGGTGGCACACGGTCTCATACTCGTCAGGCATATGTCAGAGAAGAGACTCATGCCTGCAGAAGGCCATCATGCGGGGGGGTGGAGGGTCAGACTCGGCAGTGTAGGAGGACATCACCCTGGGGGGTGGAGGGTCCGAGAGAGGCCTTCCAGCAGAGGGAGGGACGCAGTGGCTGCATGGACATACGGATGGCGGCCGGACAGACCCCGGTGCGCATGCTGTTCACAGGGGGTCATCCTGACAGCACGAGGCAGGGGCCCGGGCCTGTGGGTCCCGCCCGCCGGCCTCGGGGTGAGCCTGCGGCCACCCAGCGCGCACACGGCTGGCCCCGGGCCTCGCTGTCCCCACGCGGGAGCGGCAGCGGGTGGATTCGAACCCTCGGCAGCACAGCGCCTCCCCCGCGGCTCCGGGGTCCCCGCGCCGCCCCACGTTCCGCGCTAACGCCGCGATGGCATGACCGGGGGGTGTTGGGGTCCCCACGCTCGACTCAGCACACCGCCAAGTCCCCCAACACGCGCTTCCAGGCTCCGTCGTGGGGAACCACGCACGAGGTCGCATCCGGCCAGTCCTCGGACCGGCGACTGCAGACACGCACCCGCGGGCCACGCGCGGAGCCAGCTGGCCTGACCAGCACTGAGACCCGGTCCCCGGACGACGGCAGTCCGCGCGCCCCCGCC